CTGGCGGTGTTATTCGTCCGCCATCTTGCTCCGCCCATATTTTTTTATGGTATGACATGAGAACATGATGTTCTCACTATTAATTTCAGGCAATTATCCAAAAATACTTTAGAAGTTGGCTTGTGAACATATAATAAATGGAAATGGTAATAACTTGACAATATTTGGGGTTCACTAATAAAAAGGTAACCTTAATAAGATTTTTCTTGTGTTTTGGAAGCATTTAGATCAAGGGTGGGGAAATTTTTCATGTTGGAAGGTCACATTAATTTAGCTGTAATCAAATAAAGCCACGTTCAAGAAACTTTAATTAGATATACTTAAAAATGTACATTGATTTGTAAACTAACTACTATGTACTTAATCTCAAAAAATGCAAACTATTTGTTCATTTTAAAGTTAACTAACTTTTTAATGACTTTGTCTTGTCTGTTTTTCGTTGGAAAGCATTTGAACATTTGGTTGCAGCATAGAGGTCCACAGTTTCAGTTGATCCGCTAGATGGACATCAGTCATTTGTGACCTTAAGAGCCTCTTATTTGGGTTAAGCAGAAGAATGTAGATTTTGCTGCAATAAGTGGTTGAAAACAGTAAAGCATTTATCAGGCATGAGTTTCTCAAGGCATGCGTATTCTACTGCTTTTTTCCAGATTTCCATTGGATTTTTCTTAGCATAAAACAATGACTTTACAATGGCATCTACTAAGAGCTCAATCAATTCCATATGCAGTTCTTTAGTTGTCTTAGTGGTATCAACTAGGGGACGCTTAAATGATAATTTGAGTATGATGTTATGATTCTCAAAGTCAGTGAAACTTTTATTGTATTCTCCAATAAATAGGTCTATAACAGTGTGCATTCTCGAAATTATTTGGCATATATCACCCTGCTCATCTATGACCTTTGCTAACTGGGGAAAATGTTCATCTGAAATTTCCTTTTGAAGAGGAAATGTTCTGAAAATTGATAGCTTAAAATGCTTGGATTTTTTTTTTTTTGCCACATATCATAGATAGACTTAGTTTTACCTTGCAAATAAATATTCAAGTCATTTTGATTGGACATGATATCACAAAGAAATGCTGCATTCCTAGAAATCTTCTTTCAATAATTCACGTTGCTGATTCTGTTCTTCATAAAATTTAACTATCTGTTCTTGCAGAGATAAAATTTTGGCTAAGACCTGTCACTGTGATAGCCAATGTCCTTTAGAATGATACAGCAAATACACATTGAATACCTCATCATTCAACTTTAGCATGTTACAAAACTGACAATGCTACCATATATTTGCACAAATATAGGTATAAATACTTATAACTTGTTGCAAAGTGCCACTTAAAATAGCTTTAGCACAGAAATTTTGCCAATGCAAGATACAATGAAAATAAATGAGAGCATATGGATCTGTTAATACTTCTTTTATCTGTGCAATAAACTCTTCATGTTTTCCTGTCATGGAAGGTGTACCATCTGTATATACACTCACTAAATTTACCAAATTCAGTCCAACTTCATGACGTTTATCTTGAAAGATGTTGAAGATATCTATTCTCCGTGTTCTGTTCACATGAGTGCCCAAAGTGAGTAACTCTTTGTAGCAAAGAAAATCTTCTGTTATCATCTGAATGAAGCAGAAAACCTGTGCCAGATCAGTATCAGTTGACTCATCCAAAGCAATTGAAGAATATATATGTTCCTTATGAAGTATTTTTTTTTTTTTTGAGACAGAGTCTCACTTTGTTGTCCAGGCTAGAGTGAGTGCCGTGGCGTCAGCCTAGCTCACAGCAACCTCAATCTCCTGGGCTTGAGTGACCCTTCTGCCTCAGCCTCCCGAGTAGCTGGGACTACAGGCATGCGCCACCATGCCCGGCTAATTTTTTATATATATATATCAGTTGGCCAATTAATTTCTTTCTATTTATAGTAGAGACGGGGTCTCGCTCTTGCTCAGGCTGGTTTTGAACTCCTGACCTCGAGCAATCCGCCCGCCTCGGCCTCCCAAGAGCTAGGATTACAGGCGTGAGCCACAGCGCCCGGCCTCCTTATGAAGTATTGAATTAAGTTGTTCCGTTAAATTGAAGGCTAATTTATATGGCTGATCAATCATGGTTTTCCTTGAAAGAGGTAGTTATTTGTACTTTGAAATGTTATCTGGGTCTAAGCATCCTACAACTTTGGCAACGGTTTCTTTCACAATTTCTACATCACTGAATGGCTTCCTTTTATCCCCAAGTACCTTAGAAGTTGCTTCAGTGGCATTATTTCCAGGAATTATTGCTTCTTGAAAGAATTGTCATTTCTTTTGCTTTTCATCTTTTAATTTCTGCAATACAAGATTTTGTACCTCTCCTACTAATTCATAATGTTTGTGGTCCTTATGATTGTTATAATGCTGATGAGCATTGATTTTCTTTAATGCTGATATTGTAGTATCACAAAGCAAGCAAATCATCTTATCTTTAATAGAAACAAGACAATATTGTCATTCCCAGTCCTCATTAAAAATTTGTTTTCTTCCTTCTGTGTTCTGTTGGTCTTCTTTGACATGATGGGTTGTTAAGCAATGCAACTATTCACAAATTGCACTTCAAATAGAAACACAGTGCACCATTGTCAAGAGCTGGTAACAGACTGGCATTTTCAATCCCCATAAATTCTCACCAACCAGCCTTGTGCAGTAATGGCACAAGTCAGTTGGGGGAAGTTTAAACTAAATCATGAGCACAGCAGCCATAGATTTAGCCCTTATGACTTACTAATGTTCTAATTGTGCCAGTCAATCTGAGAGGATCATTTGATTGAAACTTATTTATTCTTTGGTATTTAAAATCTATTCATTTTAAAAATAAAAATATAAAAGATGAACAAAAATGTATTAATAAAAATCAAAGAATTTGTTCTGTAAAATTTAGATTCAGTCAAAAGGCCACACTTAAAGACCTAGATAGCCACAGGTGGCTTTAAGGCTGCAGCTTCCCCATGCCTGGAGCAGATGATGGTTATAAAAATGTTATAAATTGAGTGTGTCTGGAGGTTATCAGGGCATTTTGATAGGCCTTTCTTGATGTTCTGGTGTATAAGAGAAAGGTAAGTGAGCTGGAAAAATACTGGAACAAGAATCCAGGCTCTAGGCCTGTTTTGTTTGTTTTATTTTTTAATTTTTTCATATTTTTGAGTTGTATAAATTCCTCAAAAGAATTGGAAAAGTAAGTGTACACCTGTTGGGGAATGACAGGGCCATGCCTTCTCTATCATTGCCTCCTCTTTTTCTTTTAATCTTTTAGCTTATTTTGAAATAATTATAGATTCACTTAAAGTTTCAAAGGTATGTACAGAGAAGTCTTGTATATTCTTCATTCAGCCTCCCCTAATAGTTAAAATCTTCAGTACACCATTACAGCACACTATCAAAACCAGAACAGTGATTTGATACAATTCACACTTTATTCGGATTTCACCACTTTTCTTTTGGCTATTTTATATCTTGTATTTTCACATCGATGTTATAATTATCCTGTCAATTTCTACTAAAAAAAACCTTTCTGGGATTTTGATTGGGATTGGGTTGAATATACAGTTGGATTTGGAAAGAATTTTACAATACTGTATATTCTAGCCTATAATCAAAGTATGTATCTCCATTTATTTAATTATGTCACTAATTTTTTTCAATGTTTTATAGTTTTTAGTGTACCAGTCTTTTTACATCTTTGGTCATATTTATCCCTAAGTATTCCATAATTTTAGTGATAGTTTAAATTTCACTGTTCTTAATTTCAAACTTCCAGTTGTTCCCTACTAATCTATACACACAGAGTTAATTTTTTTAAGTGTTGCTATCGTATCCTGCAACCTTGCTAAGCTCAGTTATTAGTTGTAGAAGCATTGTTTTAGATTGAGTTTTGTATACAATTTCTCATGTAGTCTTTGAAGAGACACTTTTACTTCTTTGTTTCCAATATAAATGTCTTTTCTCCCCTTGTTGCACTGGAAAGAACATCTAGTACAAAGGATAGCAATATATACCCTGGGTTCACACATTCATTTTGGGTTTGTAGTATCCTGCATGTAAACACCCATAACAATTTTTATCACATGAATGCCTGCTCCTTCTCCCCTACAATGGGAAAATATATATATTGCCTGCATTTACAGGCAGCCCCCAGGTTATGGAAGACCTGACTTACGGCATTCCATATTTACAAACAGGCTTTCAAACTTCCCCTTAAAGATAATATATAATTAAACTAATAATTTGGGCACTAGTTTCTTCTGCATATGTAAACAAAGCCCATGGCCTAAGTGGTTCATTGGGGCAGCGTGTTTATTCTAGTGACTAGTCTCATTGTTTATATGGTCTCTTACATACATTATCACTTTCATCTTAACTATTTTATTCACTTTATTCTGTCTGTGTTTACCCTTATGATAATGCCACCAAAGCAAAAGTCTACTGCAAGACCAAGTGAGCCTGCAGCAAAGAGAAAGATGATTACAGTGGAAAGGAAAGTGGAAATAATTAAGCTTTTGGAGAAACACAAGATGCCATCATTCATTGGGAAAGCATTAGTCTTCAGTTGCTCAACTATCAGAACAGTTACAAAGGATAAAATGAGAATAATGGAATATGTGAAAGGCAGTGCTCCAATGAAAACATCAATTATTACTATGCAGCATAGTGGGTTAATTATTGAAATGGAAAGGTTATTATTGATTGGTTAGAAGATCAAATTTCTATTAGCCTAGTGCAACGTTAGGTGTGTATTAACCTTTAATATCCTTTATAGAAATTTCTCCTATCTTCTATTTAAACTTTTGGTATGAGTTTGTTTTTATGTTCTGTTTGTTTGAATAAAAAGAAAAAGCACAATAGCTTCTGTAACTTATTATTATAGTACAGGAGTGTTATTATTATCATAGTATATTTTTTTACCATCCCTCTCATGCGCGCATGCACCACCTGTGAGCAGCTGCATGTGGTCTATTATAGTATTAAACAGTATTATTATTACCACATATGAGCCATTATAGTATTGGCATTATTTTATTATTACTACTGTATATGCACTGCTCATCATGGATCTGAGTTACATACAAATCTGACCTAAAGACATTCTCAGGAATTTATCTCATCTGTAACCTGGAGACTACCTGTACTAATATGAACACATCCACTTGATTTGAAATAAGGCTAAGATACCGAATAATGAAAGTCAATTCACTGAAGTTTTGACAGGCTGAAGGCGATGATTTCAGACTGGAAACAGAAAATCGAAGATAACTACAGGGACATTGGGGAAAAGAAGGTGGATTGAAAAGTTGTATGGTAGTAGCCAAAAAGTAAATTATCTTCAAGGTGCATAGGAGACGATTGTAGGGATGAATCACATGTATCCACCAAGACTTAAATGTGGCCACATTAGCTTGTAGGGATTTTAAGTAAGGTATCCAAAATACCTGGTAATGGTTAGGGCTGGGAGAGTACACAATGAATCGCTTAATAGAGGAGGTTGTGGGAAAAGACTTGAAGAAATGACTCTCTTCTTTCCATGTGAACCATGAGAATTGAAGATGAAGAGATGAGGAGGGATAGCAGGTCAATTTGGGATGCATCTTTAGGGGGTGTTGAAGCAACAACAGCATCTTGGCCTTCTCTCCTCCTCCCCCACCCATGGAGGTGTCAAGGGTAGTGCTTTGTGATGTCTAAGCCATCTCGGGGTTACTATTGGCTGGAGTAGTGCTGGATGACCAAACAAAGCTTAAGGATGTGGTTCTCACTACCCCCAGGAAGGTATATATAGTGAGGGAAGAGGCCTGGGATAGACCACTGGGAGGCTTCAATATGGCTAAGGAAATCTGCACACCAGAGGAGCCTAGCATAGATATGCAACAACCAACTGTAAGCATGGAACAGCCAACTCCAATCACCAAAGGCAGGAAGGAGATAAAGACCCTCTGTCAACACAACAACAAAGAAAGTGATAAGGTCAGACTACCTTAGCCATGACCCTCCTCTTCTTCTCCACCCCACAACTCTACTCTGTCCTTCTCTGGCACAAACCCCTTCCTCAACCAGCATCCATTCTCATAAAATTCCCCTTGCCATCCAGCTATCATCCTTTTCCCCAAAAGTAATGCCCTTCTGGCCTCTCCCTCTTTTCTTCACAGGTTCAGATGATACTCATAATAGTAAAATTAGCCCTTCAACAGAATGTGAATAAGATGAAGAAAATAAAAATGCCAACAATAATAGTCTGTTTCTACAGGGTGCATAAGAAAAGAAATTCAAATCAGCTGAAGAATAAAGAAGAGAACCCAGATAACTCCATCGATCCAATCAAAGAGACCAGAGACCTAGACCTATCTGTGGAGTCTTCAGAAAAAGCTATGGAGAAATAGTCAACCATGGAGAAACCAAATCTGACAAATACATGGTACACCAATGGCAATGATTAAAATAAAATAAAATTTTAAGGGCAGATGTCTATGTGCGTGTATTTCCTTCTGTTCTCTAATGATAGGAAGGAAGGAAAGGAAGGGAAGAGGCAGACATTTGAAAAGGGGGGAGGGACATAGGGTCCTGCAGGTTTGGGAGACAGATATACAGGTTGACAGCCAAACATTGTAAATAAGGATTGGGGGAAGACTGAGCACTGAAGACACATTTCCTTCTTAAAATTTGATTTCACAGGAGAGGAGGAAAAGGAGTTGATATTTCTTGGAGGGTGTGTGTATGTGGAGAAGGACAGATGGGGATATCTATAATGTATACAGGGTGGCCATGACACTCTTCCCCAAAGGCAGACAACAAAATCACCTTCAGGCCACATAGCTTATAGGGGTGTATGTTGTTATGTACCCAATGCTGTGAGCAACTAAAGGTCTTCAGAAGTCAAAAAAACTCACCCTACAGAAAGTCACCAACAGCACCTGCCCCTTGCCCCACATACACATACTAAAATAATGATGTTTGAAGGCCACAGTTCCAAAGCCAATGAGGGCAATTTCTTATTAAGAAACTGAGGATAGAGGAGCAGCCTACCAAGGGTGAGGCAGTGGGAATGGTCTGGATCTGGCATAGCCAATAAAAGGGAGCATTGTCTACAGAGAATTTTCGCACAAGAATAAAACAAAAGCTGGTCTTTTTATTATCACCTCTGTAAGCCAGCATTTCTAAAGAATGTCAGTAATCAAGTAGTCTTCCCCTGAAAACAATATTGTTTTTGTTAGAAAGGGTATGGTAGAGTTGCTTTGAATCAAGTGTACAGGGGTAGATATTTATACTTTATAAATTTTAGGAAGATATTTGAAATTTTAATATTTGAACTCATTCTCTGGTAAATGTTTCATTTGATTTATACCTTAGTATTTCATTTTATTTGGAGTGACTGTAAATGATATCATGTGCTTAATTTCAATTTCCATATGTTCATTGTTAGTATATAGAAATGTGATTTATTTTTTATTTTTTAAATAAATTTTATTATGTATATTTGGGGTTTACAACATGATGCTATGGCACACATATAGATAGTGAAATAGTTACCATACTGAAGCAGGGTAACATATCATCTCATATAATTACTTTCTTTGGTATGTGACAAGAGCAGCTAAAGTCTGCTTATTTAACAAAAATCCCTAATATAATACAATTTTATTAACTTTAGTCCGCCTGTTGTACATTCGATCTCTACACTTGTTAATCCTACATATCTTTTATTTTGTATCCTTTGACCTACATCTCCCCATTTCCTGTCCCTTGCCTTACCCATGGTAACCACTGCTCCATTACCTATCTCTGTGTATTTGAGCCCTCCCCTTTTTAAATATTCCACCTATGAGATCATGCAATCTTTTTCTTTATCTGGCTTATTTAATTTAGCCTAATGCCTCCAGTTCCACCCATGTTGTGGCAAATGGCAGAGTCTCCTTTTAAAACTGAATAATATTCCATTGTTATATATATCTCCCACAATGTTTAATCCATTCATCCATTGGTGGGCATTTTAGGTTGTTTCCATATCTTGACTATTGTGAATAATGCTGCAGTGAACTTGGAAATGGAGATATCTTTAAGATGTGGTGATTTCATTTCTTTTGTGTGAATTTGCAGACACAGGATTGCTGGGTCATATGGTAGTTATACTTTTAATTTGTTTAGGAACTTTCATTCTGTTTTCCATAATGGCTATACCAATCTAACTTCCCACCAACAGTACACTAGAGTTTCCTTTTCTCCACACCCTTGCCAACATTTGTTATTTTTTTGTCATTTTGATAAAAAAAAAAACATCCTAACTGGTGTGAGGTGATGTTTTATTGCCATTTTGATTAGCTTTTCCCTTATGATTAGTGATGTTAAGCACCTTTGCATATACCTGTTAGCACACCACTGCAAGAAATAATGCAGAGATTCCTGTGTAACCTTTACTAAATTTCCTCCAATGATAATATCTTGCAATAGTGCAGTACAACTTCACAACCAGGAAACTCACATTGATACAATCTATCTACCTGATTCAGAGTTCACCAGTTTTGCATATGCTTATTTGTGTGTGTTTAGTTATATAGAATTTTATCATATGTCCAGATTCAAGTGACAACCACCATAGTAAAAGTACAGAAGAATTTCATCACCACAAGTATCTCTCCAGTTGCCTTTTAATAGCCACACCTACTTACCCTTCCCTTCATGTTCATAACCCTTAGAAACCACTCATCTCAATAATCTTGTCACTTTGAGAATGTTAAACAAATGGAATCATTCAGTATTCAACCTTTTGGAACTGGCTTTTTCACTCAGCATAAGTCTGTAGGAACTCATTCAGGTTGTTGCATGCATCAATAGTTCATTAATTTATATCCCTGAGTGTGGTATTCCATGGTATAAATATACCACAGTTTGCTTAATCATTCCACTTGTTGAAAGGCTTCTGGGTTGTTTCTAGTTTTGGGCTATTACAAAGAAACTTGTTATAATCATTCACATGCAGGGTTTTCTGTGAACATAAGATTTCATTTCTATTTAATAATTACTCAGAGGTATAATTTCTGGGTATTATGATAGTTATTATGTTTAGTTGTATAAGAAAATTCCAACCTTTCTAGTATGTCTGTATCATTCCAACCAACAATGCATTAGTGATCTAGTTTCTTTGCATTCTCACTGCCATTTGGTTTTGTTACTTAAAGAAAACTCCTTTCTGATAGATATGTAATATCTAATTGTGGTCTTAATTTGAATTTCTCTGACTGCTAATGATTTTGAGCATCGAGCATCTTTTTTTAATTTTTTTTATTTTTTCATATTATAGGGGTACAAATATTGTTAGGGTTACATATATTGCCCCTGCCATTCCTCCCCATGCCCTCCACCACCCCGCCTTAACAAAACATCGAGCATGTCCTACTCTCAGGTGGTGAGCATCTTTTATATGTGCTTATTTGTCGTTCATATATTCTCAGCCCTCTCTTTTCTACAGGTTCATAATGGTGGCTTAAAATTGGTATTAACTGATAAACACTTCAGTGCACATATAGTAATAACATTCTTCGGGTATTGGGCAGATACCTACATAATGAGTGCTATGTGCACCGTCTGGGGGATGGACATGCTTGAAGTTCTGACTCAGGTGGGGCAAGGGCAATATATGTAACCTAAAGATTTGTACCCCTGTAATATGCTGAAATAAAAAAAATTAAAAACAGGTGTATTTACAATATATGTATCAAGTTTTAAAATGGCAAAAGGATTGGACAAGTTTTCTGATAACAGAAATCTAAATGCAATAAGAGTTTCAATAAGCTAGACTCTGAACCACTAGAAGCAATGGATTTAATCAAATAAGGAAAATTTTGATAGAAAAATTTGTCAGGTTCATATCTTGCAGTTCCCAACCTAACATCTGTGAATAGAATGGGAGACATTTAGTTTAACAGTAGTATAAAAATATCAACTCAGACATTTTCAATTGACAGTATATATATTGTAAGCCAAGGGCGTGAAAAGGTTGTTCAGAAGCTACTAGTACCTTTGATTAAGTTCTATGGAAATGTAACTAAAGTAAGAGGTGAAATTCTCTCTGTGTTTTGTGTTGATCAAACTATACTTGAAGAACTGTTTCCAGTTGTGAGTTTTATGCATTAGGAAGAATAGCAGCAAATTAAATAATAACTAGGGAATGAGAAGAAATCTGGGTGATGATGGCACTTGAAATGGTGTCATAGGGCAAATGATGGAAAGAAGTGTATAAGGAAGGGTCCCAATGGCAAACACATTATATACTCTAATACAATGATTTGAGGAGAGTTTAATAATTGAATGATTACAAAGGAATGGGACAGGATAGGGCAACCATAAGAAATAACTTGGATTTGGAAACAGGAGGGCAACTGCTACCACCTGTTATTGGAATCTGAAGAACGACAGAGCTGTGTGGAGAGAACAGTCAGATGAAAAGTGATGACATAGAGGGATGAAACAAGACTACAAAAATCATTCAAGGAGGAAATCAGAGGAATAAATACTCTGACTTCATTTTCCTCCTTTGCTCCAATCATTTGCATGGATTTCTAATTGACTAAAACTAACTAGAAGTAGTAGAACAAGAGAACCCATTAATATAGATGATGGTTCATATTCATCAGATTTTTGAAGGCACAAAGCATAGTGGGGAAGAGAGGCAAATGGATCTGGTATTGCAAATGGAGGGTATAATAATAACATTGAACTCAGAGAAGCAAAAGTATTAGGAGTGATCACCATATCTTTCTGCAGCTCTCTGATATTGGGTCATGTGGAATCAGGTTACACAGACTTTTTGAGTGTCATATCTCTGATTAGTAGTACCACAATAGGGAACTCAGGAGAAAGTGGCATAAACTCCATTAAGCAGTTGATATGGATGAGTTTGTCCAGGAAAATCTGTTTACAAAATGTTCAATTGCAATTTAAGGACATTTTGCTCTTTCCTATGGGCACAAATATCTCTATGCCTGTCACTCTCTACATCAAAATATCTGCTACTTGTAACCATATTTCCCCTAGTAGAAAGTAGAAAATTGGTATGTTTTTTTTTTAATTTAAGTATATTATGGGGTTACAAATTTTAAAGTTTCAAATAATGCCCTTTCCCCCTCTCCCCCCACAAGTCTGACCTTCCAGCGTGACCATCCCCCAGACGGTACACATCTCACTCATTATGTATGTATACAACCGCCCCCCTCCCCCCTGCCCAATACCCAATTACTGTAGTTCCTGTGTCCACTTAGGTGCTGCTCAGTTAATACCAGTTTGGTGGTGAGTATATGTGGTGCTTGTTTTTCCATTCTTGGGAAACTTCACTTAGTAGTATGGGTTCCAGCTCTAACCAGGAAAAAACAAGGTGTGCTATATCACCGTTGTTTCTTAGAGCTGAATAGTACTCCATGGTATACATATACCACATTTTATTAATCCACTCATGGATTAATGGGCACT